TGGAGGGTTGGTGCCGCGCAAATCCGCCGCCGGGCTTGGGGGAGCGTGTGTGGGAGCTGAGGGTGCTCCGTCGGGAGGAGGTCCTGTGCAGTGCGCGGGGGTGCTCCCAGCGGTGGTGAGCGGGCTTCTTTGACTCACCCGTGCACCCTCCTGGTTCAGCGGCACAGAGTTCGGTGGCTTCCATTGCCACTGTCAATGCTGTGCTACGATGTCATTGCCCTTCTAAACTGAGCGTATTTTAAAAGGTAGATTTAAGCCTCTAGTAGGGTGTGAATAAATTAGAATGGCTGTAACAAATAGTGTGTTTCTGTTTGTGCTCCAAATAATGTACATTGCTTTGGGATTACAGTGTAAGGCACTTGTGGACTGAACCATTGCTTTTTGCCTTGTGTAAGGGAAACATAATTTTCATTCTTATTTTTATTTTAAGCTTGGAAGAGTCTTTACAGGATGGGTGCAGCGATCTTTACAGAGCACCCAGGCAGCTACAGCCTCCCAGAACACCTGTGCTCCTGATGACAGCAAGGCTACTAGCCCTGTGCCTAAGGACTGTCCTGTTTGCTCATACAATGAATGGGACCCACTGGAAGAGGTCATTGTGGGAAGAGCTGAAAATGCGTGTGTCCCACCTTTTTCTGTGGAGGTTAAGGTAAACAATGGAAAAACAACCTTAAATAGGAAACAATGTGGTTTTTATATATACAATTTGCTTAAACTTTACAGTGCATGGGGTGTGGTGTTTACTCTTGAGGATTCTTCTTTCAAAGTAGTTGTTTACATCTGTAAAACTTTACAGCATAGCCATTTTGGTGGGGAATATGTGGTTTCTTTCCACTTTCAACTGAATTAGCTGTCTTAGCAGAAGTCAGTAGTAGAGAGAATCTCTAATATGTCCAGTCTGCTTGAGTAACATAGCCCTGATGCTATCAAAGTGCATGCTTTAGCTTTTGAGACAGTTGGTAGGACTAATGAAAGTTTAATTGGACCCAAAAGTAGGGTCACCACTTTAAAAAAAAAGTGTAGTTTTCTACTTACTAGTCTGAGAAAGACCGAGTTCTATAGCTGTAGACTAGCAGGACCATTCTGTTTAAATAGCTCACCACAACTTTTATGTGGTGCAGTAAGTATTGTATGGAAACACATACTACTCTGTTTTTCAGGGTTTTTCTGTACCTAAAACTACAGCAGCAACCTAAATAAATCCACATGTCTTCATTCTCTGAAATGTTGTATTCTAGAACAGGAACACTCAAACAGTGAGCTTGCTCCAGATTTTGTGCATTTTACCTGGATTTTAAAGTTGCTAAGTATGTGTTGTTACCTGCATTCATGGGATGATCTTGAATTGTTCTCTTCCAGTGTCACAGTACAGTACTACCTCCAAAGCAGCATGTAATCTGTGGCTAGCACAGCAAAATGAGCTGGCACACTACTTCTGCTGAAGAGACCTTAGTAAAATTTTAAAGCATATCTTGATAAAGTTGACCAGAAGACCTCAATTAAAAAAAAAAAGAAAGGGAATTCTTCTGATCTGACATTGAAGGAATGGCAAACAAAGATACTGAAAATATGTTTAAAGTGCTAGAAATGGTAGTTTAGAGGAAGTTTGGGATGTACTCGTGGAGAAGAATTTTCTTCCCCTAACCCGTTTTACATTTGTATTTTTTTTCTTTAGAATCTGGACTGTGATTCTGGGCAAAAGTGGTTGGAGTGTGAATGAATTACTGCAGCTTGGTAGTTCAAATACCCAATTAGAAGAGTAATAATTTGACTTACATTAGGACATTTGAGATGATACCTTGGCCCCAGTGAGCACAATGAAAACTTTACCACTGACGTCATTATGACTTCTATTTACTCCTTGAAAGCTGAAGCTCAGTTACCAACCTCTGGACTCCTGTTTCAGACACTCCAAAGACATTCTAGCAGCTTCAGAAAAAGAAGCAAATAAGGATTGGCATTTTTAATATACAAGTGTATGTATGTGCATTTATGTACTTAAAACTGCCATAAAGAATGTACAGAAAGAGTAAGAGAAAAAAACTCCACGTCTAACTCTTTTACATGGTAACACTGTGAGACAAAGTTCTGTTCTCAAGTAGTGGCCAAGGGCTTGCTTTAATGTCAGAAAAAAAATACTCTTTGAAATGTTAAACTGGCTGAAGTGTGACATGCTATACATCTAGCCCGGTTCTACTGCCTATTAAGCCATAACTCAATCAAATGAGGTCAGAACTTCACTTTCTGTTACATGCAATATCAAAAGCTCAACAAGGAATGTCAAAGGATAGGATTATTGCTGCAATTCAAATACCTACAACTTGGGGTTAAAGCAAGCTTGGCTTTGCTTTATGTAAACTGCCAAGTCTAAAGGATACATTGGCCACAACAGGTAACCGTAATACCATGTGCCACCTGAGATGTCATTTCATTTAATTTTCTCTATTTTCGTCCTAAATTTTGCTGTAGAAACTGCAACAGTATCTTTACCTGGGGGTGTTGCTGAATAATCCAAACAGTAGTCCAAATCCTATCTTGCCAATACTGAAAGATATTAATAGATTCAGTTATTGTTCAAATCTCTATATGGCTGAAAGGTAAGGCATGTATGTGTGTGCTGCTCTAGTGTAATACAATAGCCAGAAATCCCTGTTATTGTCCCTGTAAGTAGCAATACTATGGTTGATGTGTATCACATGCCTTCTGCAAAGTATGAATGAGGGTCATTGGTTATAAAAAACACAGATTAAAAACTAGTGAATTTGCGTTGTATAAGGAAAAATTGAAGCTTTGGGCCAGAGACGCTTTAAAAAACACATCTCAAATTATAACAGTTTGGTAACTACTTGCTTTGAGGTACTTCTAAGTTGTGTTTTAAGATTGTATGCATGTTTATTTACAGAATATTTAAGTGCAGGAAATATGGCTGCATTCTGTAATTTGAGGCATGGTTTTGGTATACACAGGCATTTTTGCTGTGATGTGGGAATGATGTGCTTGGCATAAGAAGGAGGAAGGAATGAATTGAATAGGGAGCCTTACACACTTGATGAATATTAACAAGCTGACATTATTGCATATCCTTTTGGGAGCTTGAAATTGGCTATGTAGGTTAAATAGAGATACATATGCTATTGGGAAACATGGGAAATCTTAACTAGGAGATTAACAACTACATTAATTAGGAAGATGCCCTGTTTTGAATTAGCACTTTGGTCAAAAATCTCACAGTTCAGATGTATTCTTCTGAAGTAGTTGACACTTAGTCAAACAGTTGAGTTTTATAGCTTTGTACTCTGCAATGTTTTTCAGTCTATTTTGTGAATAATACTGCATTTTTGGTGAAGAGGTATTATTACCACAGATCATCATAACAAGTGAGAAGCTGGGGGGGGTTACTACTGAATTAGGCAAAAAGCATTTTGACCTGAATTTCTGTTTCAATGTACTAAATAACTGTTGTTACTAGCTTTAAGGTACATCTCCAGAGCATTGACATTGATAGTGTTAATTATTTTCCACAACAAACGTTTAAAATATATAGCAACTATAGGGAGTAATTCTGCTGTTTCTTAAGGACAATCTTTTCCTTACAGCACACTCTTAAATTTCTTTCTGAAAAGAGGTTTTCTTAAATGCTGCTACAGTTTCTTGGGTACTCTCAGACAGTAGGTTATAAGGTGCATTGAGGAGACTATTTGGAGCTCTTTTCTGTGTCCTGGCCATGGTACTTTTTGAACAGTCTGAAATGAGTTGTATGTACATGATCAAAGTGGCCTGAAATCTCAACCCTGAATTGGTATGAAATAGGTGTCCTACTCAATACCCTTTTCCCAGTTATTCAGAAGGTAGGGAATATGAGTGGTGGCATGGTGGTAACCCTTATTCTGTTGTAACTTTAAGATTATGCCATCGTATTAGTGCAAGACAAGAGTAATTTCTCTGGTTGGAAGAAGAGCACTGCTAGAGGATACCTGGTGAAGAGGGGAGCTGCACCTGTTAGGAATTAATGATATTCAAATACATCATCAATAGCTCTGAAAATAAATAGCTTTACTCCTTAGGACAAATTTGTCTCATTAGTAGACCAGGTTTCCATAGGAATGCTAGGCACTTTATATGATCTGTATGTGACTTCTGAACAGCTGGCAAGTCTGAGGTGATCAAATTACCCAAGACCTCACCTGGAGAAAAAGAATAATTTCATTGGGAAGGATGGGAAGAAGCTTCAGTACTGGAGGAGCAGGATGGCCATGCTGAGACTTTTGCCTGGGCGCTCTCTAAATGTTAAGGATGTCTAAAAGGTTGAATTTTCTTTTCCTTCTGTCTTGCCTCTCTAGCATGAGGGCAAAAATCCAGAAATAGCAGAGAGTAGATTGGACAGCCTGGATTCTTAAAAGATATCGGGCATGCCTTCAGATGAATGGCCTTGCCTGCTCCGGGCTCACTGACAGTACAAGCACATTATTGTATTGTTTTTGTCCACAGCATTGCTTTCTGGAAGGTAGTCACAACTGCAATATCAGGAGATAACCTCATGTTTGGAAGGGCAGGTTCTCCTGCATCCCATTGCTGTCACTTATGCTGCCTGAATGAGCAGGGCTTAGTAGGGTAGCAGGAAGGCCTGATCACTTGTTCACCAATTCCTGACACCTTCTGCTGTCGTTCCAGAAGGGCTCCATAGGCACTTGTTCCTCTGTCACGTTAGTGTTAGCAAAGACCCATCAAAACTGCTGGTTTCACAGCTTATAAATCTGAATGAAGTACTTTCAAAGCTACAATGAACTGAAGCAGCATCATTTGATTTGATTACATGTCTGGATTTCCTTAAACATGAGAACTAGGCCGTTATGTTGAATTAGTTTTTAATTTGAGAACACTAATGACAGGATTTCAGGAGCAGAGGATTTAGGCCTGTAAATGTTGTACTTGTTTTTAATCCAACCCTAACAGGTGAATTTAGTATCTCTTGCATTTTCTAGACTGCTGCTGTACCTGAAGTATGGCCCCTTCTAGCCAACAAGGCATGTTACCTGTACTTGGGATGGCTTTAGAATTCCTGATGTCACCACTTTGACAGTACCGAAGTGAGGTTTTAACAAGGTGACTACAGATGTATGCATTTTGGAGATGAGCTCAAGATTGTTTTCATTTAAAAACATGTCCGCTAGCCTTATTAAATAGCAGAGTCTATTTGCTGTTTGGTGTGTTTGTACAGGTCTAGTGTAAAAAGGACCAAATCTTTCATGGCCACTTGGCAATACTAGCCACTAAATACTAACTGAAGTATAATGTAGTCTCTTGGTTTTCAACTATGATTGGATAAATAATGAGACTTTCTGTAGGGCTATGACTAGAGAGGGGTAGACAATCCTAGAAGTATTTATTACATTATTGAAAATAATATTTCCATCACCAGAAACAAATATAAGCTATTGATCCATCTCCATCCAAAAATATGAGGAAATGAAATATCCTGAATCCCATTTGAAAGTCAAATTAAACTTGCAAGTGGGAATGAAATGTTTACTTCTCCACATTCCAGAATGGCTTTCACTTTTTTCCTGCTGTTCCTCAGAGGACTTTTTTTTTTTTTCTTGAGTATCAAGACAGGTAGGAAGTAGAGGAATAAAGTAGTGGAAGGCATCCCTGCCCATGGCAGGGGGGGTTGGAACTAGATGATCTTCAAGGTCCCTTCCAACCTAAACCATTCTATGATACAGCTGAAACTTAGCTTTTTAAATGTATGTAAGTACTTGTGAAGACATCAGCCATTCACAACTCGTCTTAACACCAAGTTAACATAAGTTTAATGACTGGACACATCCACATCATAAAACATCTGAGTGAAACCTTAGCAATGGTGTGTATAACTAGAAGTAGTAAAGACAAAAAATAAAGATGAGAGTGCCACCAGGGTATGGATTCTCAACCAGTAATAATTGAGCATTTGTCTGAAGCACTGATGCTTCTCTCTTCCTTTTTTTTTTTTTCCCTCTCCTCACCTGCCCCTTTATTTTAGAAGAATCAGCAGGACTTTAACAATTCTTAGCAAGTCTTCAAAGGAATCACATATAAGGCACAGTATGACATGCTAGGGTCATAACACATATAAAACAATAGGAAGTCAGTGAAAGAACAACAAGAAACTTTGGACATTCAGTTGTTTTATGCATCTGTTTCACTCTACCAAAAAAAAAAAAGATGCTTATTCTTTGTCACTTACCTGTCCTTTTGTTTTAGGCCAACACATATGAAAAGTATTGGGGATTTTATCAGAAATTTGGAGGTCAGAGCTTCCCCAAAGACCATGTAAAAAAAGCTATTGCTGAAATTGAAGAGATGTGCAATATTTTGGAAAGAGAAGGTGTAATTGTCAAGAGGCCTGATCCAATTGACTGGTCTGTGAAGTATAAAACACCTGATTTTGAGTCTACAGGTAAATGTTCTTCCATTGTTGAAGGCCTTGTCTGTTTAGCTCTTCTCTGAGATGTTTTGGATGTCTAGTCTACCTTCTTGCTTGGAGCAGGATTATTGCCAGTGCAAGGTGAGGTCAGTGATGGCTTTGTATAGCTATGACTTGGAAAATCTCCAGGGACGGAGATTCTGCCACCTGCTTTGCTGATCTGTTTCAGTGTTGCGTGGATTTTCTAATGAAAGATGTTTTCCTAATACCCAACCTGAACTTCCCACACCAGCTTATGTTGCCTGATTCCCTTGCTCTGTTGTCACTGCCACTACCAAGAAGTGTTCATCTGTCATCTCTAATGGCCCTGGAAGTAGCTGTAGACTGTTACTGCTTTGTCCCCTAGTTGCCACATGAAATAAGCTGAGGTCCCTCTACTTCTTCTCCCAGATCACGTACTGTAAGGCCCCCCTGACTGTCTTGATAGCACTGAGTTGGATCCATCTTAAACTACAGAGGCCAAAATTGGAAATAGTTTTCCAGGAGGATCCTCACTAGTGTCAAGGAAATTTGAATGTTTCTTTACCTACTGGCCACATTCTTCCTTGTATAGCACCATATGGCTCTGGTTATTTGCAGTGAGAGCACACTGGCTTATACTCAGTTTTGCACCAAATGTGGTCTCTGGGCTTCTTTAATGTCAGACGTGTTCTTAAGTTGTTCTAGTGGAATTCAAATTCATTGGAGAACAGATAATGTTAACAAAACGTCTAATGAGGCTGCTTCCTGCACTAGTTCTGTGTTCCATCAAGTTCCTTTTCTGTGCTACTACTCTTTAAAATGATGGCATATAAAGAAATGAGGTCCACTTGGAAAACTTGCCACCCATCATCACCTTTTAAAGTCATCCGAGTAATTCATAAGCATTTGTCTAGTTAACTTCCGTTAACCAAACTATGAAGTGGAAGCTTTGTAGCAAAAGTTGCATGTATTTTGAACAAAAAGTGTCACTTTGAAAACTTACTGAAGAATGTAAGGACCTCAAATTAGGCACTGTTTTCCTGACTCTGCTAAAGACGCTTTTTGCCATTCTTTTGGATAGAAGTAATGATAAAAAGGAGGGTGAAAAGAGAATAAACTGAAAGAGCTGAGAAAATAATATTTGTCTCATAGGTTAATGGCCTTTTTCCTTTCAGGTATGTATGCTGCCATGCCAAGAGACATCCTGTTGGTGGTGGGAAATGAAATTATTGAAGCGCCTATGGCTTGGCGTGCTCGGTTCTTTGAGTACAGAGCATATAGACGAATAATCAAAGATTATTTCAACTGTGGTGCTAAGTGGACAACTGCCCCCAAGCCCACAATGGCAGATGAACTCTATGATCAGGTATTGTTCTCATTTTGCTTCAGAATTTCAGTTCTGGTTATATAATTTTGTTGATAGTTTCAACCTGATATCTAGGTTTCACAAAATTGGGGGGTGAGCAGGGGGAGAAAAACAACTCTGGAAACCTGTGGTTTTTCTAGTGGTATGTAAATATTCTGTAGCCTTTCCAGCTGAAACAGTGTGTGCAATTAGGGAATAGGAAACAGGAAGCTGTGTCTATTGAATTCAAGTCTGCTTTGAATTGTTTTGATTACTGGCTGTAACTTAGCACTACTGAAGAGAAAGGAACACTTGAAACACATCACAAAGATTACTTTAAAGAATTAGGGTTCCCTGAGAATGTCTGCATGTCCTGAGTGTATCAGGAGAGTGGGAAAGAATATATTTTTTGTCACAAAAGAAAAAAAACTCATAATCCTTGTTTTGCATGATGATTAGTATTTTGAAAGTTCCATGAAAGAAACAGTGGAGAATCTAAATACTGAGTATTTACTTTCCAAATATTTAAGTGAATATTTTCTTTAATTTTTTCTTTTGTAATAATTTTGGCTCAGACAATTTTGGTAGTTTCCTATAGGCCCCCAAATGCATTAGAACCTTGGTAAGAGCATCTACAGGAAGCGCAGTAAAACTAGTTGTGGAATGATTACAACTTTCTGGGAATAGTGACATCTTATCAATAATGCAAAGAAGTCTTTGTTAAACAGAATTACCTTAGAGAAATCTGTCAGTATTGGAAAACTTCCAGAGTCTGTTCTAAGGCATAGAAACTACTTATCCTGTAGTTTGCTCTTTTTTACACGTCATTTGTTCTTAATTGCATTGTTTCATTCTAAAATCTATTTAAATTCCTGAAGATCTACCTTCTAGTTTGATGTACTGCGCCATTCTAAAATGTGGAAAAAGTAGGGAGTCCACCTTTGTTAGGAAATAGCTGGCATACCAGTATTTCTGTCACTGTACAACTGATTTGTTGGACTGATAGTTAAACTCCAATGGTAATGAACAGTTTTTATCCAGAAGCCAGAACATTGTAGAGACAGTGGCTCTGAAGAGCAATTAACTTCTCAATATAACTATTGTCTCTTATCCTATCACCTATTCTTGAATGTACTTTAAACTTCTAACTTAAACTTCCACATTTATGCTTTTTTTTATTCTAGTAACAAGTAAACCAGACCACCTCCAAGGAACATACTAGCTATCAATATAAAGATATTTTCTTAATTTCAAAGTACTCTTCAGTAGCAAATAGTTTGAAAACTTTCCCTTACCATCTCCTTTTTCTATAACTAGGACTATCCAATCCGCTCTGTTGAAGACAGGCATAAACTGGCTGCTCAGGGAAAATTCGTAACTACTGAATTTGAGCCATGCTTTGATGCTGCTGACTTCATTAGAGCTGGAAGAGATATCTTTGTACAAAGGAGCCAGGTAAACAAAGGTTTCTTCCAACAGTTTTGGTATCTATCTTAATGATTGATACTTGTATTTATGTATTTTTAAATTCCTGAACAGCATTAAAACAGAGTGTTGACAAAAGAAGTTGCTATTTGTAGAGTGTCTGATATACAGGATGAGACTGTCTGACAGCTAAGTGGTTAGCTAAAGGCACAACCTTCTATTATTTTGGTTCTAAATATTTATTTGAATAAAACCTTAGACAAACTAAGCTTAGGTGCAGTTTATATTCTAACCTAGTGAAATTTACTTTGTCCTGTCTTCAGGTTACAAATTACATGGGCATTGAGTGGATGAGGCGACACCTTGCACCAGACTACAGAGTGCATATAATATCCTTTAAGGATCCTAACCCTATGCACATTGATGCCACGTTTAATATCATTGGACCTGGACTTGTGCTTTCTAACCCAGACCGTCCCTGCCATCAGGTAACAGTGTAGTGGAAGGGAAAGTGTTTGTGTTTAAAAATGACTCACTGGATAATTGCTAATCCACAAGTTTATTTTGTATACACTTGAATAATATTAAATTATTGGATTTAAATAGCACTCTGACAGGGGTTTAGGAACGTATAGGTGTATTTGCATCTTGACTCTAGAACTTTCTTAACAGTGCAATGACCACTGTTCTCCCCCAGTTTTCTGCTACTGCTCTTCATGCTTACTTATTGTGAGGCTAGGTGGATGTGTTGTGAGTTTCTTCCTAGGTACATAGTTTACATATGACGGAAGTGATCTATTTTGTAATAGTGTAGTATCAAAGCAAGTACATAGGATATACTCCTTCTCTGAACACTTCCACTACTTAAATACATTAATTGTATCCAAGGAGAAATTGAGGGTTTTCTCCTGCTCAGATGAATAATCCCCCTTTTAATTCCTGTTTTGGAAGTCTCTCCTTTGGTATTGTTAACTGTACCAATGGCAGGAGGCTGGTAATTGATCAGGCATTCAGCTTTGAATAACTGAGTGAGAAATACTTTTTGAAGAGTAAGAAAGAGGAGAGATACAGTTCAGTATGTAAAACCTACTACTTCACTCTGAGAAAAAGCTAATATTGCGAAACAGTGCAATCAGATCAGAGAGTATGAGCTCATGTTACAGACATATTACCTGTACTGTTAGGGCTTGAGGATTTTTGAGAGGATCCCCATGATTACAGAAGCTGTACAACCACATGGGAATAGCTGAGCCAATACTGAATCAGTGGGATAGAGCTGTGTGCGGCAGAAATTACAGAACGATGTACACAGCATAGCTCTTAGAAGCAATATTAGTCTCTTCTCAGCAAGTGGCTTCAATGCAAATGGTCCCATTGAATTACTGCCTCTTGTAATATCCATTATGAGAATATAATTTTTAAAACAATCATAGCCTTTTCCTCCCCTCTTCCCTTCCCCTGTTTTTTGTAATCTTACTTGCAAGAGGAGGTTCTTGGTTTCCTTTTGTTAAACCCACATGATGGTACTCTTTTCATGGAAACCTGCTGTCTGTGTAGATAGAAAAGATAGATGCAGCTTTCTTTCATAAACACCTGATTTTGCAGTTCTGGATGACTGGGAAATAGGGGCAGAGGTGTGGGTGAAAGAGGGCTGTTTAAAATCCTAGCAGGCTAGGCTGGTTAGTGAGTTTTCAGAATGGGAGCTCCACCTCCTGGTAACACTTGAATAAAGAGCTCTTCCAAGTATTCAGATAACTAAGCTGAAAAGTCAATTCTTCTTAGCCAAATTATCCTTCTCTTTTTTTTAACTTAACTGTGTAATTCTTAGGGACATAAATTATTCCCTAGGATGCCTTTATTTTCTTCCCTTTTTTAAAAAACTACATATTAAGTTTCTTATGAAGCACGATGCAAATGTAATTTTATGTCATATTTTGGTGGGGTTGTTTCTATAAATGACAATGTAATTCATATCAATAGCTTTTATAGTCATATGGGAAGAAAAAATACAAAACCTAATAATTTAATACGTTTGTGCTGTTACTAATATTTACTTCGCAGGCTCCAAACTGCATGTGTTACCTTTTGTCTTTAAAATATCTTAGTATACCTAGCATATATAAAAACAGTAGAAACAAATGCTAGTGGTATGCAAAGCTTGAAAAGGCTTTCAAAAAATGCTTATATGAAAACTGGGTTTGTAGATGGAACCTGAATGGTGACAAGAGTAGTGAACAGAGGGAAGGGGATGTCATGTATATTGAAGAAGCCTGAGAAAATGTGGCATAGGTTGAAGGATGTAATGTGATACTTTAAGAATCTTGTTTAGAATCTAATTAAATTGCTCTTTCAGATTGAGCTCTTCAAGAAAGCAGGCTGGACTGTGATTCGCCCCCCAGTGCCACTCATCCCAGATGGTATATTCACTCTTTCTTTTCTAAGAATTCCAAGAGTATTCTTAAGAGTATTAATATGCGGCAATATTGGTACAGTAGAAGGTTAATTCTCATGTGTTCAGATCACCCACTGTGGATGTCTTCTAAATGGCTCTCCATGAACGTCCTAATGCTGGATGAGAAACGTGTGATGGTGGATGCCAATGAGACATCAATTCAGAAGATGTTTGAAAATTTGGGTATGTCCTGATGTATTTCAACATATACTTAAAACAAAATGATTGGAATACCAGCTGTGTGCATCTGGGTGAATGAAGGTTTTGCTCAAAGTAGTCAAAGGAGCCAGCACTGAAAAAGGTACTCAAACAATTGGATTAGCGAGCAAGAATCCTTCAGAGATTCTCTCCTAAATACTTCAGTCATATGAACACAGGCTTCTTACACTTGTGCCCCCTACAGCTTGTAGCACTAACTTTACTGCTAGCGTGTGTTTGAGCTTTTTTAATGTAAAACTGTCTGTTCAGTTTGGAGATCAAAGTCTGTCTTGGAGAGGTTGAGTGTGCATATTGCTGAGTGATGCAGAGCTGGTGATCCCTTATTGCCAAAATTCTTTCAGATTTTTCTAGTTTTAAACTCACTGTAACTTAAACTGCCAAATTAAGACCACTTAACCAGGTATTTCTGCTCATTTGTGGAAAATCTCAGTCCTGTGAGATGTAATCTCATGACAGGATGGAATTCCTTTAGATATGCAGTGGCAGGAGAACTCTAATTGAACAGAAAACCACTTTGCACAGCTCACTGCAAAGACAAATAATATAGACTTAAAAATATGAACTCATGCAGTTAATCCAACTGCTTCTATTGTGCTGGGAGGGAAAGATGTAGGTAGATCTACTTGTGGCTCGTAGCTGGTTAGTAGGACAGTGGCCAGATTGCTTGGTGCTACAGCCAGCTGACTATTGCTGCAGGGTAAGTACATGGTGATGCAGAAGTTGACAGGGTAGAAAGAAGACTGGTGGGTAGATGAGAAGTCAAAGGAAGTGAGGGATCATTGATTGTAGAGTAATAGATAGTTGCAGAAGGCTCCTTTAAAGGGAGAAAAATGATGGGAAGGAGAGAATGATCTAAAGGTGGAAGGTAGGAACTGTGAACCTAGAAGAAGGGTTGGTGCCATGGATGTGAGTGCACTTACTCAAGTTTCCCTCAAATCTGAGATAATTGCAGGTGAGAACCATGCAATCTAATACTTTAATCTGCTTGTAAAGTCTAGCTATACAACCTTTAGTGAATTCCTTAACTTTTCAGTCTTGCATTGTTTTAATTTTATGCATGACCAAGGAGCTGAGGATTTATAGATGCTTGAAAGTACTTAAAAATGAGGCTATTAATGCTAATGATGACATATCTTTCACACTGGAACTTCAGTCTGTGTGAGTTCTAAATAAACTCCTGTAGTCAGTAAGTTCCTAGGACTGAGATGGGTCTACTGGGAACAAAACTATTGCCGACCTAGATAATGGATTCTACTGAGCTGCTCCTGAAAGTACCAAGAAGCAAAAAGGCAAACTTCATAACAGAAAAGTCTTCTGATCCTAGTCCATTTGTCAGGACTGTATAAACTGAGCCACAGCTGAAACATCAGAGCTGAAAAGAAGTGGGAGGAAGCTTAACCTAGGTAGTAAGTATAGCAGCCTCTTTCCCCTTTCACAGAAAGAGGGACTCGGAGCTCTGTACTTTGAATGCTTCTTTTTTTGAAAGACAATTGAAAGAGGACATTCAGTGTCTTAACCATAAATGCTTACACAGATTTATGTAAATGTGCCCTGGTCATATATTGTAGCAGAATTTCAGCTAACTCTTCACATACTGCAAAAACTGAATTTTTCTTTTTATTACAAGCACATCGTAACACATCAAACACCAGCTGTGCTCCAGGCACTGTATATTCTTGAGGGCATCGCTGGAATAAACAACCAAGCTATGTTCCTAGCTTGTTCTCTGCCTAGAATTTGGGAAAATAAATTAATAACAAACAAGTAAGAAATACTTTCTGTATTTGCATCTAGCCATATGATCTGATAAAGCATTATCTAATGTTCTGATCAAAGCTTACCACATGAATTTGAGATTTTAGTTTTAAAGTATGCAACGTATTTTTCTTTCAGGCATTTCTACAATTAAAGTGAATATTCGCCATGCCAATTCATTGGGAGGTGGCTTCCATTGCTGGACATGTGATATCCGCCGTCGTGGTACCCTGCAATCTTATTTTGACTAATTATGAGCCAGATAGGTGGCAATGGTTCAGCTTCTAAAATAAGCATAGGAAAGGAACAAATTAATTTCACTTCTGTTAAAACAACTGCCTGAGCTCTAGTGCTTGATCAGTGGTGTCCTTACAGTGGTCTGGTAAATGATTTATTCTTACATACTCTTCACTTTCATCAGTATAATTGAAACTACTTCCATCAGCAATACAGGTTTTCTGGCTGGCTTTTTGGAAGACATCCTTCATCTATGAAGCCTTTTCACATTGGCTTTCAATATAAAAACTTGACAAGATAGCTAAAAGGTCTTGCTAGAATAGCTTGGCCACTAATGTTGGACATCTACCTCTGGTTACGCTATCAAATAGGCAGCTTGAAATGTTAAACTTGAGTAAACTTTTCTTATTCCTTTTAATCAGTCTATTGTTCTAATATATTTGTGTTTAATGAAGTTAAAATAGATGCAACTGTACAGATATCTTATGGAACCAAGTAATTTTGTAGTGTTTTTCATGTTGAGCCATACAGGTATTTGCAGAGAATTTTCAGTATGATTTAACTTTTAAGACATGTTCACTTACTTGCAGTGTCCTTCTACGTTTTTTTTCTTCTGATGCATGTCATGCATCTTAATACTTTTTTATATTGCTTTTTGTATTGCTGAAATTGGGTTTTATTTAACTCTTAAGAGTATGACTGATAGCTAATACTCTGCTTGTACAGGTTTCATCCTGAATTGTTTACATAACTTAAAAGAAAAAAGCACAAAACCAAAAAAACCCACCATCAACCCCCCTCTAACCCTGAACCTCTGACATCTTACAACCCCTTCTTCCTTCAGCTGTAGCAGATACAGGAAGATGTATCAAACATGCCAGATGCTGTGAAGAAATTTGAGTATTGATTACCAAATATGTACTTTTTATGCTAATAAAGTTTATTTTGCATTCCCAATTTGTTGCCCTTCTGAAAATGAGTAAGCATTAAATGCCTGGATAGGTACACATTTGTAGAATATAGATGGAAATACAAAATACACATGTATTTCCCACCCCCACCCCCCCAAACATAACATCTTAGGCACTTTACAAAGGTTTTCTGCATTATACTATATTGTTGATGTAGTATGTTTCTGCTTCTGTTTTGCACAGAAGTATGAGTGGTAGGGGAAAGTAATAATAATAGATGTTTCTTACCATAGTGTGGAGGAATCTAAGTTAGACAATGCAGTGCACCTTGACAGAAAAGATGTCGGGCATAACATGCTCACATATAAACCATATTTTACCCCGCGTTGGGTAGGACTAAACAGGTTATATATCAACAGTCTAGAATGCTTTAAGATATATCAGACTGGAAGAGCTGATGAGACAGCTGCCAGTGCTTGGCCATATAGAGATGGTCCTTCCTTTTCCTTGAAAATCGAGGCTCTTTAGACTATCAAAATTTATCTGAGTCTTCCTACAACCAAGCTTTGCTTTCCAATATTGACAATGGAGCTGGACAGCTGTGTATTCGGGTATTCACCCTTTGTATTAATGTTTTGGTTTTTTTTCAGTTTGAGGGGAAAAATGATCAAATTCTTCTTTTATCCTTTTCTGTTTTGTATGGATTCTCAGGCTCTATTGCTTGTGGGCTGTTTCTTTTTAGGCACGTCATACACTTCCATGGAATCATGTTCTCTTTGAATCTACTCAACACTTACGCATTTTCCTAGGATTTTAAAGAAAGTGCAATAATTATTATTTTGACAAATCCATAAGCTCTAATGCTGGCACAAAGCTGTTGTTACAGCAGGCATGTCTCACTGATTTATTTTTTTTTTCTTCAGTTCATTTTAGGAAGCTGAAATAACCAATGCAACAAAACAAAAGTACTGACTAGGAAGTTTAGGCTTTTGGTTTAATAAGAAAGCAATGCTTTTACTATGCTTTCCTATTTAGACCATGAGAAAAAATTGATTTCAAAGTTCCTAATGTCATAGTTTAGCTTTAGCCTTCTTATTTATAATACTCATTTGAAGAGCAGCTTCAAGAATTAATATCACTTTTCCTTCATAATAAGGGATTTTGTTGTTTTACTTTGGTAAAATTAATACACAGATTAGCTGAAATTGCTCCCTTTCTCTACCCTTTTGGGAAAACTGAATTGTGTTTAAAAAAAATCTGGGTATAGTCTCAAAGGATCAGAACTTTTCTTTTCCATTCATTAAAGAAATTCCATTTGCAAAAGGCTATTACTAAGCACCAAATTTAGGTGCCAAAACTCTGACTTTATAATTATTTTAGCCTTCTCCCATCTTTTCTGCTTATTCCTTATCAAATGCTCTTTTTTCATTTTAAACTGCACACACAGTACCAAGCCACCAGTATGCTTCTGAAGTTTGGGTTTTTTCTGCCTGTAATAGAAGTTCTTTTACCTCATCCACGGAGATTTTGACTGGTTTGGGAATAGACCTGTCCTTAAGTCATCTTTTCTTCAACAAGGAAGGCAAGGGGGTTGTTCCATATGAGCAGAAGCTTTCTGTTCCCTTTCAGTAGTAGTATCAGAATACAGATTAGAGAGACACACTAGCAGAAATGCACGAACATGAGGAAGCATTACTACCATCATTTTGTGACAGAGGATCTGGTGGTGTGAATATTTTTGAGACCTTCTCAGACCTGACTCCTTTGCTTACTTATATCGATCAGTTAGCCAATCTCTTTCCATTAAGCTAAAAGGAAGCCACACTTAGGTACTCCATGAGGTATAGTAATGGTTAAACAATAAATACCTGGAAACTGCTCCAGCCTACAAAAGTGCTGAAGGCTATTTGGGAACCGTGTGGGGTCCTGTGTAAATCCAGCAGCACGAGACCAGGGAGGACAAAGTTTGTATCTCTCCTGGAACTGCAATATTTTCCCACTAGTGCAGGGAGCATTACAATTTATTCACAGGTATGTTTACAAATGTCCCTGGGGTGGATAGGCATGTCTGTATTACCAAACATAAAATTACAACGTCTCACAATTTCTTCTGTCCTATCAGTGTTATTTGGAGATATGATTGTGCTGCTATAGGGAAGAATTGACAAAGTGGACAATGGAATGATAAAAAAAGTTCAAGGGTAAATTTAAAAGCTCTAGTGGGCTTTCTTTATAGTGGAAGAACTTGAAAAGCACTGATGAGAAGCAACATTTTCCCCAGTAACACATTCAAGAGGGAGTGATACAGAGACAGCAAAACCTTTAGAGGAACGATGAAGGGAACATGATATAGAACGTTGTTATGGTGGATGCCACCCCATACTACTGATACATATAATCTTCTGAGTTATTTTTATTCTTGCAGAGAGGGAGGTCAGTCTATGTCAGTTGGTTTTGGTTAGACGAGACCCTGGAAATAGGAATCTACAGTGAGAAACAGAAGGGCTTGGTTTCTGCTTTGATATCTAATTACAAGCAATATTTGAGCCCAAATTACATGTGGGCAACAGGATACTATTGGCTGGAGGAAACAGGCATGATGGTGTTTGACCACCTCTGTTCCAGGCTGCAATTTATATGTAAATAAAGCAAATTAAATGTGGGCTGGACTTGAATTCTCCATAATTTGTTTTCCACTGGCTGAGAATGCCTTAAATACTTGCTATTGCTTGGCAGAAGGTCAGCTCCAGCTTTCCAAACAGACAGCACCATGAAAAGAAGCAACAGAAACACAGACCTGACTGGGAGGCCTAAGCCAGTGCCTCAGCTAGAGCTGTAAAGAAAGGTGACAAATCAGTCGCCTAATCTACAGAGTTTTTCAGGGCGGGCTCAGCTCAGCTGCAGGGAATTAGCTAATCACTCCCTGGGCAGGGGCACTGGAGAGCTAGGATTTTCCTCCCATTTTGCTCCTGAAACTTAGCTGTAGTAAGCTTGCTGGTTATGAGAAGGCATGTGTATTTGCATAGATGCCTGTAATAAAGATTTTTCATGTCAGTTTTTTAGATAAGATATAATTGTTAGCAGCAAACCAGAGGACATGGAAAGAAGGTAAAGTCTTTGAAGTGGGGCCTCCTGGTGTGTATCTGTAGTTCATGGCTGCAAATGCTGTGCTGATATAATACAAAGTGGGGGAAGGAGGGGTTTTTCCTTTGCTCTACTTAGTGGGCAGAAGGGAAAGAATGTTGGTTTGGTTTTTTTTTTCCCAGTTAGTTGCTTCGGGCTGTGTCTGTGCTAGCAGAAAATGGTTGTTTCTTGTTTCAGTATCTCTTGAATGTTTCTGTTGTCTAGCTTAAAATACTCTCCTTTGGCTCCATTTTTTGGTATCCATATGATTAATACCCAGACTGCAAAGCTTGGTGGACAGTTCTTCAACTGCAATGTTGATGCTTAGGAAGGGTAGGCTGATGTCTACGTGACTCCATATAAAATTAGTCTTGGTTTTTAGATCAAAAATTAGGCCCACTGTGGAAAAGTAGTTTTTCTCTGGTTTTATGTAGTGCTGGTGAAAATTAGATTGTTGGATCCACAGACACTTCTGCTAGTCAAAGATGTTGCTAGAATTGAATTATCTCTGTTCCAGCCTGCAGACCAGCCGAGGCTCTTTATTCCTGCTAGGGATAGAACCCAGTGTGTTTAGCTGTGCTGAAACTGTCAGGATCCCCCTGATGCCTCTGGCATTCATCACTTCTCAAGAGGGTCTACTTCTGCTTTCCTTCTGCTAGAGCATTTTTAGAGCTTAATTAAGCAGGCAGGAAATATCTTTATGATAACAAATGATGTCCCAACTTAGTGGTTCATTCATTAGCTTATAGCAAATTGTCATGCTTTATGAGTTAATGAAGTCAGATGTATGAATGAGAAACAGAACCTTCCAAAGAGTTTCTTATTGCTTTGTTATCTTCATAAGCTTGGTAGTGTGATGAATTGGGCAGTCCCACAAAAAAATAGACTAGCAAATCCAATGCATGCTCTGTAACAGTTTACACCATCACATACAGAAGTCTGTGGGAGCTGATGAGATGCATCCCAGAGTCCTTAGGAAC